CATTGTTCTTAATGAATGCTGACTGATTGTAGTGTGTTATATACAGGCATTGTGGTCAACATTAAAGATACAATGACAAAGTGAGGGCCCCTGCCCTCAAGGAGCAAACATTCTATTGGAAGAAACTATATGGGATAAGTAAGTACAACATATATACAAAGAAAATATGGAATGATTTGGGTGGAGGCCAGGGACTCTTCCCTCAGACCAAATCCAATCCATTACTGCAATGTAATATCACAAAATGGATCATGGGATCATAGCTCTAGAGTTGGAAGGAAACTTGGAGGCCATCTAGACAACCCCCTCATTTTATGGATGAGGAAACTGAGGCTCAGAGAAATTAAGGAATGGAGAAATCATGATACTCACTAGCTGTGTGACCCTAGGCAAGTCACTTAACCCCCATTGCCTTGCCAAAAACAAAAACAAAAACAAAAACCCGAATAGAGCCTGGGAGAACACTGAGGGGCAGAGGGGCTAGAGGTTTCCTTGAGAATAAAGAATAGGTTTAGGAGAAATGAGACTCAGGGGAAGATGGAATGATAGGAGATTATGATGGGATCAAGAAATTTTGTAAAGAAACATTTTGTAAACTTTAAAACATTTTAAGATATCAAGTATTATTGGTCATTTTTTAATTAATAGGGTACTATGATCCTCTGAAGGAGCATTCTATTTAAGATCTCATCGGGGGAGGGAGGAAGGCAGAGAGAGAGAGAGAGAATAGAGAAGGGGGGGAGAGATTACAGGATCACAGATTTAGAGCCAGGGACCTTAAAGACAATCTAATTCAACCCCTTACTTCTTATTTATAGATGAGGAAACTGAAGCTGAGAGGTGTGGTGTACTTTAAATACAATGTCTTCCAGATGGCATCTTTTTGGCAGAGAAATCGGTGGAATGATCTGTTCAAGTTCATCATGTCTACAAAAATGTTAAGATCTTCTTACACCTGATCTACAGACTTTACTAGGTAATTCAGTTCTCAAACCAAAGGGTGAAAGCACAGCAAGAGAAAACTAATACTCCTTGGTGGGCAGTTGCAAATGACCTTTCAAATCAGTAGCCAAGCTCAGGTTAGAATTAAGGTATCCTGTTTTCAGTTTATTATTCATTGTTGTTGAGTCATTTTAGTCATATCTGACTCTCTGTGAGCCCATTTGAGGTTTTCTTAGCAAAGATACTGGAGTGGTTTTTCATTTCCTTCTCCAGCTTGTTTTACAGATGAGGAACTGAGGCAAACAAGGTTAAGTGACTTGCCTAGGGTCACATAGCTAGTAAGTGTCTCAGTCACATTTGAACTCAGGTCCTCTTGACTCCAAGACTAGTGCTCTATCCACTATGCCACCTAGCTGCCTACAATATCTATTTAGTAGTCCAAAAATGATTTGGAAAAAAAATTGTTAAGGGGAATTGGTTGTTGTTAAGATAAATTTTACCCTTGTACAAACCCACTTAGTTCACTTGTCTCCCACTCTATACCTACTAAAAATAGAAGGCTTAAATATATTCGCTCAGGCAAAATGGTTTGACCTTTCCATTCTGCTCCCCACCTCACCCCAGCAACTTTGGTTTAATTTCCTATGCTTCAGTTCAATTTAGTTCCACTCCACAAACATTTATTAAGTTTCCACTACAAGTAAATCATGGTTAGACTAGGGATAGATACAAATACAAAAGTGAAAAGCAATCCCTGTCCTGGAGGAACTCATATTCTATTGGATCTTCCACCTAGATCAGAACTTAGAGGTAGTTTGCATTGTAAACACACTTTTTTCTTAGGGGGTGGGGAGGGTGTTACAATTTGGTTTCATTCATCTGGTTAGGAAACTCCGTCTATTCAACTAGAATAATCATTGTTCAGAAATCTAAAATTCTAGAGAACTGGGGCTGCAGGGAACCTCTGGGAGGTTATTACTTGTCCAGTGTCATATGCTAGTACCAGAGGCAGGATTTGAACCTGGGTCTTCCTGACTCTGAAGCCTGCTAATCTAAGGTCAAAGACAATAACCCTAGAGGTTTTTAAATGGCCCTTCACATAATTACAATAGATCACTTGGAAGTAAGACTCTACTTCTTTAGTCCCAGCAAATCCAAACTCATTAGTCTATCACTTCACTGTGCAAACAAATGAAATTGATGGCAATCCGAATAGTTTTTCTTACCCCATGAGGATGATGCTAGAGCAACAATGCATATGGAAGTTTTGTATATTATTACAGAATCCCATAGAATTTCCCCCTTGGAATTAGTTTGTATTTTTTTGCCTAATTTTTTTTGTTTACTTCTCTACATACATATTGCAAACACCCTCTCCCCATTAGAATATAAGTTCTTTGAAGGCAGGGTCTATTTCATTTTTGTCTTCATATACCCATCACTTAGCATAGTGCTTTGCACATAGTAGGCACTTAATAATTATTTGTCAAATTCAATTGAATTAATATACTCATTTATTATCAATAGTGAGCTCCACAATTTACTTACATTTTAGGACAAAAGATCATTGAATGAAGAAGAATCAATTCTTAAATAGTTTACTAGTCTCTAAAAATCAAATCTTTCTTTCTTCTTTCCTTCCTTCCTTCCTTCCTCCCTTCCTTCCTTTCTGTCTCTTTCTCTCTGTCTCTATCTCTCTGGCACTGTCTCTCTGTCTGTCTCTCTCTCTCTCTCTCTGTTTGTCTGTCTGTCTCTGCCTCTCTCTCTCACACACACACAACACACACACACACACACACACACAGAGGCATCAAAATATTTTAAAATGACACTGGAATTAGGCATAGTCTTACTGTTAATGAACTGCCAAAACATGTCCACTTTGTTCCTAATTTATAGCCTTTGAGAACTAAGTACAAACTACGGAGGCCTGTACCAAGCTGGAAAAGATCCTAGAATGGGCCTTTCATGGATGAAATTCTTTTGAGTAAGACTAACCTAGCTAAATTCCGAGAAGTTCATCACTATAGACCTCATGATGTAATAAACTAGTTCTTTAGTCCCAGCAAAGTGCATAATATTTATAGAATCATTTAAAGAAGAGATAATAAAAAGCATTATTCTCGAAGGTAAGAGTGATCACTAGATAATGCATTTCTCTAGACACAATAATGATGAATACTAAAAATGAGAGAGATTATAATCTTTATCAATTGGAGACAACACTGGCACCAGCGAGATTAGGCATCTGAAACATTGAAGAGCAGTTTATTCAATGACAGAATTTGGCTTCACAGATTTAAATTAAGACAGTCCAGTACAGGCTTTGTCTCATGCAATTCTTGGTTAAATACTCACACCCTAATATTTTATGTATATGCCTACGTTAACCACTCTCTTCAGATAGCTATTGGATGTTAAACCCGTTTGACATAAGGCACCCATTCAGATGTTATAGTCCATATGTTTGTGGAAGTTGCTCATTCCAAGAAATGAATTTGGAAAAAAACATGTAAGGTCATTGAAAACCATTAGGATTGTTGTCTTTGACTTTAGATCAGCAGCAAGTTCCCTTTCCAAAAGGGAACTGTCTTTCTCTAACTTTCTCTGATTTTACATTTCATGAAAATCGGTTTTTAAATCCTCCCTGTCTCTCTCTCTCTCTCTTTTTTTTGTAGATTTCATTGTCACAAATGAAGCTAACATTCAGATTTGCTTCTTTTAAAACTTTCTTTTGTATAACTTTTAATGTTTTTTTCTACATCCAAGCAAGACTGATTGCAGATAAAGAAAACTGGCCAATTTTTGCCTGTGGGTCATGGCAGATAACACACAAAACAGTTTCCACAGTG